TTTCTTTTAGAAACAATGAGAGTTCAATTTTTATACCTTCAAATATTATTTTAGAGATTGGATACCCAAAACTGTTGCGAAATGATTGGCATCTTTATTATGCTTCTAAAAAGGATGTACCCATATCCCATTGTCTTTATAACACAAGTTGGATTACATCATATAGTAAGAGACCTCCCAACATAGTCATCCACAAAACTTTTTTGGAGGCTTTCATTTCCAAAATGTTTATGTAGTTCAGAATGCAAAAATTTTTACGGACTGAACTAATTTTTTTTTCAGTAAAGAAAGAATATTTGTGAACCATGTAGATAATGTTTGAAAAGGAGTAGATAGAGTAGATTTTTCAATTGATTCAGGTACTTGAGGCCCTATGGCTGAAGACTTTGTTACGGAAATTGGTTGGAACTTCCAAATACTTGTGTAGGACTTTCATATTTTTATTTATTATTTTTTTGGAACTTACTAAACTTTTTCTTGATATGCCCCCCTATCTCTCATAATTAGGGTCTTGTAAACTTGGGTGTGAGTTTCTCTTAATATTGTGCGGCTCTACCATTTCTGTTCTTTCATATTGTTTAATGAAAGTAATTACGAACGGATCAACTGTTGGGTTTGGCTACTTTTTAAGTGGGCTGGTTTTTGTTTTGTTGGTAGGGGTGTGTTATTGTCATTCGTATTGAGGTGCTTGGGTTTGTTATTTTTGCAGAGTTGGTTTTGTTTCAGCGAGCTGTTGCATTAGTTTTGTTTGGATTTCCTTTTGTTGGTGTCTGTTAAGGGATTTTCCCCTTCTTTGGGTCTAAACTTTTGTGGATAGCATAGCATTCTTTTATTTAGATTGGGTTTTTCCTGCTTCTTTGTCTTTTGTACTTAATAAGGATGTTTTATCGCCCTTGTTTTGGTTTCTTTGTTATTCTTCCTGGAGGTTGTATCCTTGAATATTTTAATTCTTTTCATCTGTTGAAAGGTTAAGGTCAGAGTGAGTAATAGTTGGAGGATGATTACAGCTAATCCAACATCTAATGTAAATTTTCAGGAAGTCAAGGAGTGTGCCATCTCTTGCATGGGGCTTGTTGTGTCTACATTTGGTGACAACCTCAAAGCAGAGTTAGCAACCTGCCTTCCAGTTCTTGTTGATCGGATGGGAAATGAGATTACCCGGCTTACAGCTGTTAAGGTTAGTTTGGTTCTTTCCAGTTTACATGAAATGCATTTGTTTTTATTCTTCTAGTTCTAGGTTTCATCTTTCAGCCCCCTATTTCCCTTTATTGTCAATAATATGCTATTTTACCATCCGTATTCTCCAGTTGCTTCAAATTATTTGAAATGCTAGAAAGATGGCTTTCATGTTTGTGGTTATGTTTTCCGGTGCCGATTTAGGTAAAGTAAACACAAAGAGTTGGTTTCAGGTCATAATATGAAAGTAGGAAGATGTGGAGATGCATGTTCTTTTGTAGTGTTAGAGAATTATTGCCATGATAGATTCAGACTTCAGAGCATGGCAATTTTCCAAGGATGGGAAGACCAAGAAAAATGTGAAAGATGAAGGAGGTGCGGACTTCCTTTTGTTAAGAGTGGAAACTTTCATTATCAAAGCGATATACAAATGAGGGGAGATGTGATAACCACACACCAAAGGATACACAAAAGACTCCTAATTGGCAAACATTTGCATCACACTATAGTTACAAAATGCTTTAGATAAAGACCAAGAAGAAGCAAATATTTTAGCTAGCCCCCCAAAAAAACAGCCATATTAATTCTTGTCTTTTGTTTCTCTCAAACCATAATTCTCTTCGGCCGAATATGAAGGACAAATAAATGACTTTCAGGATGGTAATGAATACTCAAGTATCAACCACTTTCAGTTTGGGGATGATACAATCCTCTTCTCTAAAATGTCAGATGTCTCTTCCATAGAAAATAGAGATTATGGGCATAATATAGTATAGAGATTATCAAAGACTTTGCCAATATATACTGTTGTAAAAAGGGTGAATGAATGAATATGTAGCTAGGATTGTCTTTAAATGGGAACCACAAATCCTTCTCCTTTTGGAAGACCATTATTGAAAACATTGAAAAAAGGTTATGAACATGGTCATCATGTTATATTTTAAAAGGCGAAAAACTCACCCTAAAACTAGCCACATTGTCCAACCTTCCTACTACTACATTTCTGCCACAAAAAATGGCTACGGAAATAGACAGGTTATTAGAAAACTATCTGCAGAAAGATGATCTACATCTTGTCCAATGGAAAAGGGAGACATTGGTCTATTTCCGATAAAGGAGAAGAACAAAGCTCTCTTCGCCAAATGGATATGGAGATATTATCATGAAAATAATGCCTTGTGGAGAAATCTTATATATACTAAATATACTCTTACATCATGTACAAATTGACCGTCCACTTTCTGCAAAGGGTCCACGGAAGTACATAAAAAGTACCGCCAACTACATGTGCCATAGAATGGGTGATGGGGGAAGCACATCTTTCTGGATTGACCTTTAGATTGGTGTTTTGACATTCACAACAAATGGCCACGATCAAAGAAACATGGAAAGATGCAAACAAAATTTGGGGCCTGAAGTGTAGGAACTAAAGGATAACGAAGTTGAGGAATGGGTAGAATTAAGCCTTGACCTACCCTGATCGTATTTTTTGAAAAAGTAGACTCACTAAAATGGCTTCCTAGCGTTGACAGGATCTTCTCTACAAAATCTTTGATGATGGACATAGGGGGGAAAGGTAAAAGCAATCAACCACACACTAGCGAAGACAATATGGAAAGGAAATGACCCTAAAAAGCTGAAGTTTTTTCAATGGAAAATAGTGCATAAAGCCATTAGCACAAGTGAAAATCTACTAAAAAGAATGTCCTACATGACTACTCCCAAGTTTTGGTTCCTTTAAGCAAGAAAGACAATGAATCACAAAACCATTTATTTATGCGGTGCACATATGTCCATAATTTTTGGACAAGGATTATCAATATCTTCCAATGACATCTCACTTTTCTAGGTAGGCAGAAGAGTTATTAGACATGACCTTAATGTACCACCCTTCAAGAATGCAAAAGCTTGCTATGAAAAAACTTCATTGTGGCTCTCTTTTGGAATCCATGGAAAGAAAGAATAAAAGAGTATTCATGGAAAATACACTAACTTATACAAATTTCTTCGACAATATTGTTTACCACTTATATCTTGGCGTAAATTGTCTAATACTTTTGCTTCTCATAGTCACACTTTCCTCATAAATTGAGAAGGTCTTTTGTAAGTATCATGGACAGCACATCCCTTTGTAAATTTCACACATCAAAGAAATTGGTATAGAGCTTTCATGACACAGCAGTTGGCCACAACAGTTGGTATAGAGCTTTCAAGACATTACTGGGAAAGCACAAACAATATTGAATAACCTAAAAAATCCTCCCAACAAGTGGCAGAAAAAGGACATGTGAGAAAGAGACGCATCATGTTGCCCCCTTTTTCTACAAAGGACGAACCAATTAGGGAAGAGCAGCACCAATGGCATACTTTTGTAGAATCTGCGGTTGTATTCAACCTTTCAAATGCAAAAATCCATGTAAAGACCTTTGTTTAGTTTGAGCTAAATCATCCTTGGAGCCGAGTAGACAAGGTTGAGACACTAGGAGAGCATAACGTCTCAATGCTACATCATATGTGGTGTTGAGACATTGCTGTAGCGTCTCAACACTACCATTTGCACCCCAAATTCAAAAGGGTGCGCACACACATCTAATTTGATGCTAATTTCCATAATGTTGCGACATTGTGGCAACTTATTATATATACTTCGCATTTTCGAGGGTTTATTCAGTGAGTTATTTTGAGAGTGTATGGCTATTGTATAGAGGAAAAAGATGTAAAATCTGTTTGCAGCTATTCCTAGTTGGGTTTGAAGATTTGTTTTGTTGTATCCTTGGCCTTCATTATTATGTTGCTTAGAAGTCAAGGTAGCCACTGTTAGGCTTCTTGAAGTGCAGTTTGTAGCATGTATTTGAAACCATTTGAAATCTTCATTATAGTAGAAGACTGCGTTTGTAGAAGATTGGATGTAGTTTTAAGTTTGGAGTGAATGAATATTTTTTTGGTCCGTTCAGTACTTTTTAGTTTAGCAAATCATTATTTTTTAAGCTCAGATGTGGGAGGTTTTGGACCGACCCATGGATTGAAAACACCACGCTAGCCTTGAAGTATCCACTTTTGTACAGACTCTCATAGCAAAAAAGCCATGATTAAAGAAATGTGGAATGCTGTCAACAAATTTTGGGACCTGAAGCTTGGTAGTTTAAAGGATAATGAAGCAACCGAATGGGCCGAATTAAGCCTTAACTTTGCCCGTGTGGTATTGTCAAACAAAGCAGACTCACTAACTTGGCTCCCAGTGCAGACGGGGTCTTTTCTACAAAATCCTTGATGATGGACATGGGAGAAAAAGTAGAAGCAATTAGTCCCACGCTAGCAAAGATAGAAAGAACATCAGCCTAAAAAGGTGAAGTTCTTCCTTTGGAAAATAGTGCATAGCACAAGTGAAAATCTTCAACAAAAAAAAAAAAAAAAAAAAAAAAAAAAAAAAAAAAAAAAAAAAAAAAAAAAAAAAAAAAAAAAAAAAAAAAAAAAAAAAAAAAAAAAAAAAAAAAAAANAAAAAAAAAAAAAAAAAAAAAAAAAAAAAAAAAAAAAAAAAAAAAAAAGAGAAAGAAAGAAAGAAAAAAAGCCTTAGCCACTTGTTTATGCAATGCACATACACTCAAAATTTCTGGACAATGATTCTCAATATATTCGGATGACATCTCACATTTCCTAGGGAGGTAAAGGAATTTTTGGGCCTTAATGTACCACCCTTTCAAGAATGCAAAAGCCCTATTATGGAAAAACCTCATAATGACTTTCTTTTGGAATTTTTGGATATGGCCTTAACGTACCACCCTTTCAAGAATGCCAAAGCCCTATTTGCAGAAAAGACACAGACCTACACAAAGCTTTTCGACAATGTTGTTTACCAAGCTATATCTTGGTGTAAGCTGGCTAATATTTTTACTTCCTATAGTTATACCTCCCTCATTGCAAATTGGGAAGGTCTTTTGTAAACACTAGAGATTATACATCCCTTTTGTAAATTTCAATCATCAATGAAATCGTCCGTTTAAAAAAAAAAAGAAAAAAACCTAGATGTGGTAGGTTTTGGATAAATATTTAGCTAAGTTGATTCGGAACCAGAAAAATTCCAATAAATGCAGTTTTTTTTTTTTTTTTTTTTTTTTTTTTTTTTTTTTTTTTTTTGNAGTATGTTTGGAAGCCACAATATAGCAGATATATTTTATAAGCCTTGGATTCTAGCGTCACCCTGATTCCATGGATATGATTTGAAATAAATTTTTGCAATTTAGTTAGTAGGAACGTGGTTGGCCTTATTTTCGGGTTGAATTTTAAAAGAAGCAAGATCTTATGGAAGAATAGTGTAAAGGTATTATTTTAGGAGCCTTGGTGTGAGAGAAACCAGAGACCGTTCAATGATTTTGAGGGGCGACAGTACTGAACAGACCACCGTCTTGCCATTTGCTACTTCGGTAGACCCCATCATCATCATTATTATTATCTGTTGTAAACTCTCTATCTGTAATTTCCCTCTAATATTATACTCCCATATCGCTAGTTGCGGTTATGCAAAAAGTTCAATTTGAGTTGGTGTTTCCATTGGGATATTTTAGTCTATCTTCCAGAAGTTATTTCAAGTTGGTGGCTGAAAGGAAAAGCTGAAGTCTTTTGAGAAGGATGCCTCGAGAAAGTGATTACAGAAAGATCCATCAACCCTGCACCAAGTGGCTGCTGTATACAATATAATATCAAATAAAAAAGTGTAGTTTTCTCATTTCCAATGTAATTTCTTTTCAGGCCGAGTGATCCAAAGGAAGCTCCTTCCAATTAGCACATATATCACTAAGAAAGTGATTACAGAAAGCTCTATCAACCCTGCACCAAGTGGCTGCATATCAAATAAATAAGTGTAGTTTTCCTCCTTTCCAATGTCATTTCTTTCAAGCCGAGTGATCCAAAGGAAGCTCCTTCCAATTAGCACATATATCACTAAGAAAGTGGTTAGAGGAAGATCTATCAACCTGCACCAAGTGGCTGCTGTATACATTATAATATCAAATAAATAAGTCTAGTAAATCTTCAAAGTAATTTCTTTCAAGCCGAGTGATCCAAAGGAAGCTCCTAATCAGAATCAACCACAAATATTTCTATGCATTTTGAAAGGATGAGCGATCATGGTTTTGTGTAGGTTGACAATGAGATATTGTTGTGCATAGGGATGCTCCAGCCTAAAGTTTTTTGGAACTGTGTAAGGCTTCATGCATCTAGTTTGTTGTATGCTGCTAGTGTTTAGAAATTGCTGTCTATTATTATTATTATTATTATTTTTCATTTTAGCCCAGATATTTGGTAATCTTGGAGCTCTGGCTTAGGTTGATTATCTCCTCTCCGATCTTTTATATTTTATATGGTAGTATCATATCTTTTCTTATCCAACGAAAATGTTTTGTTTCTCACTAAATATGATGCTTTCTTAAATACAAATATTTGGCCCCAGGCATTTGCTGTCATTGCTGCTTCTCCACTTCAAATAGACCTGTCATGTGTTTTAGAGCATGTCATATCAGAGTTGACAGCGTTTCTCCGTAAGGTATGGAAACGACTGGTGTAGTCGGTGATGATGTTTTTGCTTGCACTTGCAGACACTTGTTTCTTTCTTTATTGGCTGCCAAGTCGATATATGTACATGTGAGTTAGTTAGTTTGTTTTTTTGGTGGAAAAACAGGCCAATCGGTCATTGAGACAGGCAACTCTAGGGACTCTAAATTCACTTATAGCTGCTTATGGCGATAAAATTGGCCCTTCAGCATATGAAGTCATTATTGTGGAACTTTCAACTTTGATAAGGTTTTAATCTCCAAACCCACTCTTTCCCTCTCCCTCCATTCTCGACCCTCCATCCTGCATGCATTTTGTTTCACTCATGTTTGAATTTTTCATCCTTTTGGCAGTGATTCAGACTTGCATATGACAGCTCTTGCATTGGAGTTATGCTGTACCTTGATGGCTGACAGGAGGTCTAGCTCAAGTATTGGTTTGGCCGTTCGGAACAAAGTCCTTCCTCAGGCACTTCTGCTAATCAAAAGTTCACTCCTGCAGGGGCAGGCACTTGTGGTATTCATATCTCTGTGATTGTTTACGTATTGTTATACCTTGATTTATCATGCCTTCATGTTAGGAACTATTGGTATTATGAATTGCAGGCTTTACAGAGCTTTTTTGCTGCATTGGTCTCTTCTGCAAATACCAGCTTTGATGCCTTGCTGGACTCTCTTCTTTCATGTGCCAAACCATCACCTCAATCGGGTGGTGTCGCAAAACAAGCTTTATTTTCGATAGCCCAATGTGTTGCTGTTTTGTGTCTTGCCGCTGGTGATCAAAAGTATTCTTCAACAGTAAAAATGCTAACAGAAATTCTGAAAGATGATAGCAGTACGAATTCTGTAAGTCTATGTTTCTTGTTTTTTAATTTTTTTTGTTTAGTATAAATATTCTAGTAGTTATTCCATGTGAAACATATGTGTTATGATTGGACCTATACTTCATTTATTGGTTTGTTGGTTTATGTGGCCTGCTGAGTTGGTGTTGCTTCGATATGTATGGCGTTAGGTGAAACTTCAACATGAAGAAAATGTAGCTTCAATGGTGGAGGGGGGAAATAAAAGTTTTAAATAGAACTTATTGTAAGTTGTATTGAACAGTACTTTGTGTACGGTACATTTTTCTGTTCGAGTAAAATAAAGTTTTGGGATCTCTCACTTATGTTGTCTTTTACTTCTTAGTGAAATATTTTCATCCAAACAATATTTTGAAAAGTGCGCTGAGGCATGCTCATAAAAAAATCTTATTAAATCGATGGTAGAGTCCTAGCTAAGATAGACTTTGGGTATAAATGGAGGTTGTGGATTTGGAGTTGTGTTAGATTGATGAGGTACTTGTTCCTTGTTAATAGTAGACTGAGGGGGAGAATCTGTGCCTCGAGGGGACTTAGACAAGGAGATCTTCTCTCACCCTTTCTCTTCCTGAGCATTGCGAATGTCTTAAGGAATCATCTCAGGAGGTTTCAAAGTTGGTGAGGATAACATTTCTCGGTCTCATCTTTGGATGACACTATCTTTTTTTGTTAAGGCAATCAGGAGTCATTTGTCAACCTAAATAGTTTTCTAGCTTTCTTTGAGCCCATATTTAGGTTGTAAAATAATGGAGGTAAGTGCCAGCTCTTGGTGTTGAGCTATGATCTTATTAAGCTGAGGGTGGGCAGCTTTGGTTGGGTGTGATGTTGGATCAGTCTCTTAGTTCATGAACCTAGCTGCATGTCGTTTTGGGATCCTGTTGTAAGATTTACTAGAGACTGTTGTGCTGTAAGAGGATCTCGTTCTTGAAAGGAGGCCAATTTACTTTTATCGGGTTATTCTTGAGTGGGTTCGGTACCTACTTTCTATCCTTTTTTTTAGGATTCCAATGTTTGAAGAAGATTATGAGGGATTCCCTTTGGAAAGGGATTGAAGAGGGGAAATGGGATTACTCATTCAAGTGGGAGGTGGATAGGAAGCCAATAAACTTCGGGGGATTAGAGATTGGTAATGTGAGAGCCCGTAACAAGTCCATATGGTTAAATGACTTTCGTGGTTATCATGAGTTTAGTATCTTAGGGCATAAGGTTGTGGTGAAAAAATTTATTTTGTCGCCTTTTGAAGAAACTTGAGTGGGATGAAAGGTTCTTCTAAATTAGAGGGACACTTTTTTCTGGGAGGATAAGTAGTTGGGGGATAGACATCTTTGCTCTTTATTTTTTCGTTTATTCTTGTTATCTTTGTGAGGAACCACTTAGTGGCAGCAGTTTTGTCTCAGCCCATGTCCTCTTCTTCGTTGGTGTTCTGGCATGCTTTGTCAGCTAGGAAATGTTAGATATTGTTGATCTTCTGTCATTGATTGGGGGAGTTGTACTCCAAGGAGAAGAGATGTTTTCACATGGAATCCTAGTCGGTCTGGAGGGTTCTTGTGCAAATCCTTTTTTTCTTTGTTTAGTTAGTCCTTGTCTCTTTAATTATTTGGTCCTTGTCTAGAGGTGAAAATTCCCCAGAAGGTTAAGTTTTTCGTTTGGTAGGTCCTCCACAAAAGATTTAACACTTTGAACTGAGTGTCGAGGAGGGTGCTTAACTTGATGGCCATTGTGTACATCTTTTGGGTGGGGGGCAGCAAATATATTGACCTATTCTTTGAGGCTGCTGTGATGTTGCTTACACAATTGGAATCGATTTTTGAGAGTTTGGTCTAGGCTTGGCCTGGATGCTGAGAGATGATCAAAAAGTACTTTTCCATCCTTCCTTTTGCGAAAAGGGAAGATTTTTTTGTGCCAAGCTAAGGGGTATTGCCATTGTATGGGGACTATGGTGAGTGAGAACACTGGACTTTTAAAGGGCTTGAGAGATCTCTGAGTGAGGTTTGGTCTCTTGTTAGATTCTATCTGTCATTCTGGGGTTTTGGGACGAAGTTTCTTCTGTAATTATCATTAAGACTCATTTTACATGAATGTAGGGAAGCCCTTTTGGTAGTTTGCCTAAACTTTTTTTTGTGGGCTTTCTTTTTGTATGCCACTATATTATTTCATCTTTTCTCAATGAAAGCTGGTTATTCATTAAAATAAACAAGCTTATTCAGAGTGCCTCACTTTGCCATAAGCCTCAATGCTAAAGTGTACATGTTTTCCTTTTAGATTTTTTGTTAATAGAATTAAGTAATATCATCTAAAAACCCTATTTCATCCAAAATTTTCATTATCTTATACCATATATTTTTGTAATATAAAAAATTGACGTTTTTCTATTCTACCTATAAAAAGACCCTTCCTCTTTCTGCACTTCATGTTTAACTCCCGAAGGACTATTGTGCTTCTGTAAGCCTCGTGCTATAGGAAACACGACTGAAAAAGTTTGTGTAAATTTCTTTTTGAAGAGTTGTTATGTATTCTACATATGTGTATGTATTTCCTGCACTTTTGGAAGCAACTAACTTATATCTTGTAAATGGATCTTACTTAATTATTCACTTTCATAGTTCATGTCTGTTTCTGTTGGAAAATTATCCTGGTGTCTAATGTCTACTATTGCAAAATTCAGGCTAAGCAGCACCTTGCTTTACTCTGTCTTGGGGAGATCGGGAGAAGGAAGGACTTGAGCGCACATGCTCACATAGAGAATATTGTTATTGAGTCATTTCAATCTCCCTTTGAAGAGATCAAGTCTGCTGCCTCCTATGCTCTGGGTAATATTGCTGTTGGTAATTTATCCAAATATTTGCCTTTTATATTGGACCAGATTGATAATCAGCAGAAGAAACAATATCTCTTGCTTCATTCACTGAAGGAGGTATGTACATCAGATGCCTAAAGTCAGCCTTTTCTGACTTTATCTTGCAGTTGTAAGTTTGCAACTTTTATCCATTACAGGTGATAGTTAGGCAATCTGTGGATAAAGCAGAGTTTCAAGACTCGAGTGTTGAGAAGATACTTAATCTACTCTTTAATCATTGCGAAAGTGAGGAAGAGGGAGTCAGGAATGTTGTAGCTGAGTGCCTCGGTAAAATTGCTCTTATTGAACCTGGAAAACTTGTTCCTGCTCTCAAGGTATCTGATCAGGTTTACTATTTCTGTTGTACCGTGGGCTGTGAATTTTAACTTTTACATAGCATGTTTCAATGTCTTCTTTAGGTAAGGACAACAAGTCCAGCGGCATTCACTAGAGCAACTGTTGTAATTGCAGTCAAGTATTCCATAGTTGAGCGACCTGAGAAGATAGACGAGATTATATACCCTGAGATTGCGTCATTCCTGATGCTTATAAAGGATCATGATCGTGTAAGTACCAAATATTCATCTTGAGATACTTAGCTCATCTTGGAAATCTTTTTTTCTGCTTCTATTTAGTTTATCAAGTGACTGTTGGTGGTTCATTGGATGTAGAATCTTAATTTAACATGATTTTGAATGTATGCAGCATGTTAGACGTGCTGCTGTCTTGGCCTTGAGTACATTTGCCCACAATAAGCCTAACCTTGTAAAGGGGCTTCTTTCTGAGTTATTGCCGCTTCTTTATGATCAAACAATTGTGAAGGTAATCAACTAGTTCTCTGCATGACGTTAAGTTGGGCTTGCTTCCAAGTTTACTTGCTCCTTCCATTTTATCCGGATGAAAGTTTGTTTCTCTATCTATCTATCTATCTATCTATCTATATATATATATATAATATATATATATATATTAAAAATGATAGCACACTAAGTTAGTTAATAGTCTCTGAATATTGAGGCGAGACTATAATTTCAGTGATATTTGCCATTGTAGATGAAATGTTGAGGTTGAATTACAGTGGATTGCTATGTGGTATGATAATTTATGATCCAGACGGGTGGATTTGGGTAAAAATACACTTTTGATCTATGGGGTCTAAATTTAATTTCTATTTGGCTTCTTAACTTTTAAAACTG